AACTATCGCTCAAATGATTATAGTTCGAAAGTGTTTTTGGAAATCAACACCACCGTCAAGACACATTCTCTTGTCTGATTATAATTTGGTAAACCAAACTATTATATTATGTAATTAAACTATTAACCTGAATTTTCGATCCAACGATATTCAAAATCCTTAATTCTATCATATGAGTCCAAAAATCATGTGGATAAAACGATTAAAAACGTATAAATTTAATCAGGAATTCCAAATCAGAGGGATATTTCTGAGCTAAAAAAATCAAGGGGAATAATCGGTTAGCTGAAAATTAGGCAATCTTGCTTGTTCTGGTGTCGGGTTGGTGTGCTCTGATAGTTGGGATCTCCCCCGTTATCGGTTAATCCGGATATAACCCATCTGAGTTTATCAGCAATTGTCGGCCCACGCATTCACATCCCTGTACGCACATTACGCGGCGCGTGCTTCCACTCTCCAGCAAATGGTGTGATGCGTCCAGCGATAGTCGGGCGCGGGCCCGCGGGATTTGACAAATGCGCGTGGGGTCCACTTTCACTCGTGGATTTTGTCTTGTCCTGGACTGCCGTGGCAACGTGGGCGTTGTCGCCTCCGTCCACAACCAGCCCCGGTCCACCTGCGTATAGGTCCCAAAATGTTTTAGCCAACCCGGGCCCACCTTTGGCAAATTAAATCGATCCACACACTGTGTAAAGTATGCAATCATTGTACGCTGGAATTCACATTACCTTCCGAGACTCTGAAATTTTTGATAAGTCCGATACCTCATGTTTTTTATATAATATTACATTGTTACGAAAATTAATGTTAAATTATGAAATGATAGAATATTTTTAGATATTCTCACTTTGAGAAAATCTTTTTAGCATTTCCCTTCAAATTATGTACCAATAATGAATGAAAGAAAATGTTTTTTTATCAAACGATTTAATTATTTGTATTAGTGTGTGATTATAATGCATGACCCTAATTCTAAAGATGGACTCACGTACTCCAGGTGTGAAAATCACAAAAGATTATTAAATTATGAACTTAGGAGAAATCGTTGTTGAACATTTATCCAAAGGCTATTGTCAACTTTTGTTAATTTGATGTGAAGTTTAATTATTTGTATTAGTGTGTGATTATAATGCATGACCCTAATTCTGAAGATGGACTCACGTACTCCATGTGTGAAAATCACAAAAGATTCTTAAATTATGAACTTAGGAGAAATCGTTGTTGAACATCTATCCAAAGGCTATTGTCAACTTTTGTTAATTTGATGTGATGCCTGTGGCAATCTGAGCTTCTAGTGGTGTTTTCCCATCATCCATTATATTTTGTAAATTGGTGGCTTTTTTTTTGGGGTTTTTTTTTGGGGGGGGGGAAGCAATTCGGACCTTAAAATTCGATCCAACGGTTAAAAATAGGAGCCTACTTTAAAAGTTATAATAACTTTAATCGTTAGATCAAATTTTCAAGGGTCCAGATTGTTTGATGAGGAGAATTAGATAGAATGGAACCGAAATTATCCCTTTCCGCTTTGGGGAGATCGAAAAGTGCAATCGCACATGCCTCTAGTGAGCTCCCAAAATGTCACATACTAGGTAGAGATGAGAATATACATATAAGGCTTACATGATCCACTCCCCTGGGCGATATTAAAACTTTATTTTTAGGCTCACTCACCCTTGTTTTTCGTCCCTCCAGGCTATAATAGCTGAGCTTTCTTATCGACGGAGATTCGTGGCAAATCTTGGTATTGGAGATTACCTTCGATGGTATGATTCTCAATCCACTCTACTGTACTTTACTTATACTCTGACGTCACGTGTGAAATGGGTTCATTCCCGCTCACAGCGCACTCTTGTATTTAGGTACTTTTAGGTTTAAATTCATTCACATTTTCCACGTCACTACACTTTATGGCTTCGTCACCTTCCAGGTGTCGGCCAGCACAACTCGATTCGAAGTCCTAATGGACATCCGGGGTCGGGGTGTATCAGTTTGGTATCGTGACATCCCACATCGCCAATGTGAGTAGATCCTATAAGCCTTATATGTATATTCCCATCTTTACCTATTACGAGGCGTTTTAGGAGCTTACTGGCTTCGGATTTCATCAGAACTCCAAAGTTAAGCGAGTTTGTGCGAGAGCAATCCCATAATGGATGACCCACTGGAAAGTTATCGTGTGAGTGAGTTTCCAGAAACAAAACCGTGAGGCCGTGGTCGGGACCCAAAGCGGATAATATCGTGCTACTGCGAAGTCGAGCCCGAGATGTGGTGGGGGCCCGGGCCGGGATGTGACACCTTTAAAGGAGCTCTCAAAATTTTTTGTCATTTAATATTTATATGTAATAATGTTATACATTTTTTTAAAGTTTTTTTATTAGCAATTTAAAATCTTATTGTGCATTTTTCATAAGTGTAAATATTTTTTTCTAAATATAAAATTCGGAGCGTAGGATGAAATATTTTGAGTGCTAATAACATCCAAAAAGCGATTTGTTTTCATTATATATAATCCAATATACTAAAGTGGAACTTTAAAGTTAGAGTTTTAAAGCTTTTTTTTCTTGTTTGATTGTTTAAGATTGAACTGTTTTTAATTATTTACTGAAAGTTATGCTTGTAGTTGTTTTTACTTGTTATTTAACCATATATGTGAACTTATAATCAATGAGTTCTAAAGTTTGTTTTGATTTAAATTATTATTTTCTAGCATCAATACATTGTCTTATATTTTTGGAAACTACCTTAAGAAGGAGGGACTCTTTTATAAACTTGCACAGGAAATCTCAGAGACATCACTATGTAAACCAAACCAAATCCCAAATTATATTTGTGGAGTAGAAAAAGCAACATGTTGTGTGATAAGTGCTTTACTCACTGGCACTTTTATAGCGCTTCATATAAGCACTCCATAACCAACAATTTGGTATGCAAAAACAAAAATAAAAAACCCAACAAGTTTAGGCTTGAGGTATGCTGTCCCGGATTTCGTGTCCCGTTTGTGTCTCTTGTTTAATTTTTATGACACGTGTCTCTTACTTTACACCCACATCTAACACTGTTAAGTTTTAATAAAACTAATTAAAAAATAAATAAAAACCAAATGTTAAACCAAACCGGTTAATCTGGAGCGTCTATTCTCATCGAACAATGGCAAATCCAGCACAGAGAGAGCACTCGGCTTCTGTGCTCGTCCTCCTCGCAATCGCAAACCCAGCACAGACAAACCCAGCAAGGAGCAAACTGAACTCATCGCAGAAAACCTAGAAAATCAAGCTAAAGAAGAAGAAGATGACGACGATGGGTTGTGAATAAAGAGACCGGCGAGATCGGTCGGCCAAGAGGGCCGGAGCCCACACGCTGCGATTGGGAGCGAAACGGTCGGAGCTCTAATTTTTTCGTTTCTTTTTTCCAGATCTGATCAATCATGATAGCAATGGTATGTAGTTCTTTGATTTTTTTTGAGAATTTGTGCTTGACGGCACCCCTCATTGGAACCGTCGTTTGAATTCTGTACACCTGACTTCTAAATCACAGTCCAACCCAAGAATTCCCAGGTGAGAGTTAAAGAGAAAGAGAGACATGAAAAGTCTTGGGGGTGGGTCTTGAGAGTTGTTTCTTTAATTTTTTTTTTTTAAAGAATTTTATAAAAAGTTAACAGTGTTAGATGTGGGTGTAACGTAGGAGACACCTGTCATAAAATTAAGAAAATTTTAACGAAAAACTCTCGGTACTATTCACATTAAAGAAAAATCATATTTTTATATTAAAAAAATCAATCATGTTACTATTTATTTTACCATTTATTTTGTCTTTATAATTAAAACTCAAAATTTTCAAATCATTTTCATTATTTTTTTTTAAAATTAAACCGAAGACACAAATGAGACATGAAATACGGGACAGCAAACGTGGAGCCACAAGTTTAGGGCTCTCTCGATCCATTTATAAGGGAAAATGATTTTTATACACATTTTTTTCTCATTTTGTCATTTATGTTTATTTTTGAATTTTAATTATTTTCTACTTTCTTCGGTTTATGAGTCACAAAAAAGTAACGGTGTGGTGTGCATGAAAGAAAAAGTGTGAAAATTATTTGTTATTTGATATTTGTTTAACTTGTGACGCAAGCAAAAGAGGTGTTATGTTGCATGTCCCATGGCAGTCTTCTTCAGGAGTCAATTGTTTAGTGTTTATAAGCCACTCCTCCTCCTCTCTTCTACGTTTAAGTCAATGGAAGCTTTGATAATCAATCATATTACCATTTTTACTGCTCAAAAAGATGGAAAGAGGAGAGAAACGATGGTTTTTTTTAGCATGAGCTCTTTTGAAAAGTGCTTTTAAATGATTGCAAGCATTTTTAGATAAAATTTGTTTGAAGTGCTTCTTCACTAGTTCCAAAAACATTTTTTTTTCAAAAGCGCTTTCAGTTATTTAAATGCTCGTCTGAAAGTGCTTTTGAAATGATCAAAAACACTTTTATGAAAGTGCTTTTGTAACCAATCGTTAGTAAAAATGCGAGTGAATCATGGAAAAATACTTTAAGTGCTTCCTACAAGAAGCGTATAGCTGGTGCTTCTTCAATCATGGAAAAATAATTTTATCAAAAATGCTTTCAATCATTTTAAAAGTACCACCAAACAAATCCTAAAAGCACTAGTCATATAACTTGTAAAAATTCATAAACACATAAATTTTAAAGTTAGGTAGAATTAGTTTTTTGGTTGAAACAAGTTTGACATTTTCGAAAAGTAAATGTGGCATTCTTATCAAAATGTGGCATTCTTATCAATAGAAGTAGATAGGTCATGACTCATAAATATCAAAATTAATAACAGAAAAAGGAAAATATAACAAAATGCTGAAATGCTTCTATGAGTTTTTTCAATCCCGAAAGAGTATCCGATCCCCTTAAAAAAAAAAAAAAATATATATATATATATATATATATATATATAACCATTGTTATATATCAATACAACCTTTACAAAAGGCAATCATTTATTGGTTATTCTGGGTTCGATTTAGATTCACATAAAAGTTGCAGCTGTTGCTGTTGTCGCGTACAATACAAGTGCCTTTTTTTTAATTTAATTTAAAAAATAATTTTCCATTTCTTGGCCTATTTTATTTTCCTGAAATGTACATATTCACCTGCATGTACAATATAAGCTAATTCCTTTCTTGCTCTTTCTACCTCCGAAATAAACGGGCTTCTCAGAAAAAGAAAAAAAAAAGCTTCTGTTTCCTTTCATTTGTCTCCTAAATATCTTTTTACAGCGTGTTTGTTCGATCCCATTGCTGTCTAGAAGCTGCTCCTGAATTTTATGGGCTGTTTTTAGTTACATGGTGGAGGAGAACATACAAGTTTCTTGCTGTTTCTTCAAGCCCAGGTACATATCATTTCTTCATTTTATTTTTCCCTTGTTTTTCTTTGGTTTTTAATCCAATTTTTCAAATTCTATTGGATTAAAAACTGAATGAGAAATTGGGATGTGTTGGGAAAAGTGCAGCAACAAAAACCCATAATTTGTTTATGTGATTTTGTGTTTTTTTTTTTTGTTGAAGATGGGACTGATTGGTAGAGCTCTGGTTTGTTGTTGTGGAAACAGGGCAGTGATTTGGGGTGGAGGAGAATTCAGAACCAGAGGTGTGAGATAGAAGACGATTTCGAAGGCCTTGGCTTTGCTGGAATTCAGGGGATTTTAGTTTGAATTTCTTTGACTTGGTTTGAAGAAATGATGACTGTTTTGGATCAAAACTTCAATTTTTGATCTGGTTTTTGCCGGAAAGAAGAGGAGAATTTCTTCAATCGTTGGTGTTAGAATTAGCTTGTGGAGGACAGAGAGAGAAAGACGGGGGATATTTTTGTAACTTACTGTAATGGAGGCAGAGGCGGCCTCGGCTGAGCAGCCGCAGGCGGCGGCGCAGCCAACCTTGCCCCGGAAGAAGATGACGAAGCAGCTAACAGGAAAGCGCGATGACACGCCTTTGCATTCCGGAGCGAGGTCAGGAAGCATGGCGGTGGTGATGGATATCCTTGAAAATACAGAAGAGGGTGCGTTGAAGGAGTTATTGACAAAGCAGAACTCATCTGATGAAACAGCACTATATATTGCTGCAGAATATGGTTATGTTGATTTGGTCAGGGAGATGATCAAGTACTATGATCTCGCTGACGCCGGAATCAAAGCGAGAAACGGGTTTGATGCGTTCCACATTGCTGCCAAACAGGGGATATGGGTATGTCTACGGTCTACCATGAGACCCTTCGGTTATTTTTTCATTTTTCGTGTTATGTTGTTTTCGGTGGCGGATTAATGTTTTGGGTTTTTTGCAGATGTGTTGAATGTGCTTATGGAGGCTCATCCGGAATTGACCATGACGGTGGATCTATCAAACACCACGGCTTTGCACACAGCTGCGGCGCAAGGGCATATCGAGGTGGTGAACTTTCTGTTGGAAGCAGGAAGCAGCCTGGCAACCATTGCTAAAAGCAATGGCAAGACCGCGCTGCATTCTGCGGCGAGAAATGGTCATTTGGAGGTTCTGGTAGCGTTTTTGGACAAGGAGCCTGGTATCGCAACACGTGTGGATAAGAAGGGGCAAACGGCACTTCACATGGCGGCTAAGGGGCAGAATCTTGAGGTGGTGGAGCAGTTGATTAACGCAGACCTTCTTTGATAAACATGGCGGATAACAAAGACAATACCGCATTGCATATAGCTACTCGGAAGGGTAGAGGGGAGGTAAACTGACCTTTTCCCTGACCACTATGAGTTTTCATGTTTTATTAGTTGAGTAGAATGCATCATAGCAATAAAGATTTGCTTTCAACAAAATTCTTAGCCTATAGAGTATGTTCTGGAAAAATAGTAGTCTTGTATAAGCTTACGCTTCTTTTACCTTTGATTGGCTCATCGGATGAATTTATGACCCCCTTTACCAAATTACAGAGAGATTGTACGTTTCAATCTTAATCTTACGAGCATAATGCTGTTTATATGTGTGCAGATTGTGAAGATGCTACTCGAACACAGTGAAACCAACACAAGGGCAGTAAACAAGTCTGCAGAAACTGCCCTTGACACTGCCGAGAAAACTGGGAACTCGGACATTAAAGCTTTTCTCCAAGAGCGCGGTGTCCAGAGTGCTAAAGAAATCAAGCCACAAGCAAGAAACCCAGCTCGAGAGCTGAAACAAACGGTGAGTGACATCAAGCACGAAGTCCACCACCAGCTAGAACACACTCGCCAGACCAGAAGACGCGTCCAAGGCATTGCCAAACGCCTTCACAAAATGCACTCGGAAGGCCTCAACAATGCCATAAACTCAAACACTGTCGTGGCTGTCCTCATTGCCACGGTCACCTTTGCAGCAATTTTCCAAATCCCTGGCCAATACGTTGATGACCCTGGAGACATTCCCAAGGGGCAGTCACTTGGCGAGGCAAACATTGCTCCCAAACTCGCCTTCATAATCTTCTTCATCTTCGACTCCATTGCGCTTTTCATTTCTCTTGCTGTCGTGGTGGTGCAAACTTCAGTGGTGGTAATCGAGAGCAAGGCGAAGAAGCAGATGATGGCGATCATCAACAAGCTGATGTGGTTGGCTTGCGTGCTTGTTTCCGTGGCATTTTTGGCGCTCTCTTTCGTTGTGGTGGGCGAACAGAAGTGGCTAGCAATTGGAGTAACAATCATAGGAACTGTAATTATGGCTGCAACTTTAGGGACTATGTGTTTCTGGGTAGTTAGGCATCGGATTGAGGCGAAAAACATGAGGAGCATTGGGAGAACATCGTTGGACAGCAGATCGCGGTCGTGGTCGTTGTCTGCAGTAATGTCTGAATCTGAGCTCCTCAACAATGACTATAAGAAGATGTATGCAATTTGAAACTACTTCCACACACACACCTGCCACATTTTTTGGGTTCTTGTTTTTCCCAGCATTGGGCCAAACAGGTGTAACTACTATAGCATTGATCATTTTTTTTTTTTGGAACTATTATTGCCACTTTAAAATCTCATTCTGTGCTGTATTTTTTCTTTCTAAATATAGGAAGTTTGGAGTGCAAAATGAGAATGTTAAGTGCTAATAAAGATTCTCTTTTTTTTTCCTTCAGAAGTTTTTGGGTTTTGGTCAATTACATCAGATAAAAATAGAAATAGAGATGACAATTCAAACCATTAAACTCGATAATCGTGGATAATGTCCGAGTGGAACGGATTTGGGGATGAAAATCAGTTATATTTCGAATATGAGGAAAATTGAAATTTTACCCATTATGGTTTCAGATATTGTTATAGGGGTTTCCGATTTGTATCATTCTTCAAATCCGATCCGAATAATACAATTATATTCACCAAATTCATTACCTTGAGAATTACAAAAGTTGCATTTTTGTGAGAAAGTTCAAAAGTTTTGAATTAAAACCAATGAGAACTCAACGGTGCTTAAGGGAGAGATCAAACATCAACAAACATCATCAATGTATCTATTATATTATAATGAGAAAATTAATATCTATTATATTATAATGCATCAACTGAACGAATATATATTTTTGTTATTAACGAAAATGAGTTCCATTAACCGATGAGGAATCTGTTATCTGATGGGTATAGTTATGGATAATCTCCGATAGTTAATTTGCGGTTATGAATATGGTTGATTTTTATGGTTATTGGGATGGATATAATATTTTAGTCCCCAAATTGAATCATTGCCACCCCTAAATAGGAACAATGTAACCACCACCCCTAGCGATTGGGGATAAATTTCAGGCCCATATTCCACACAACATGTTTTGAGTTTGACTCCTAGTGCTAATAAATCACACAATGGTGACCATAAGAGCAACTCCAGCCTTGCTGGTTGCTCGGGCGTCAGGCGAGGAGAAAGGGCCCTCGGGCCGGTGGGAGTAAATCCAGCGGGGAAGGGCCCAAGTGAGGGTGGGAGGTCGAGCGAAGGGGGGGTGGGGAGTCGACGGGCCTGTGGCCCGAGGGTTTTGTATTTTTTTATTTTTTTTGTGTCAGAGAGAGAGAGAGAGATAGCTTTTGTAATTTTTTATTATTTAAACAAACATAAAAAACTATTATTTTTATTGCTTATTGCCAGGGGGGAGGGTTCCAAGGGTGGAGATGTAAATGACAATTACTGTTCATTAATGGTAATTACTATTCATTTAAGGCAGTTACTGTTCAATAGGGTGGATTGAATAGTGGATTGCCAGGGGGGAGGGCTCCATGGGTGGAGTTGCTCTAAGAGACTAAAATGCCTCCGTGGGTCTTCCCCTTCTCAAAAAAAAAAAAAAAAAAAATTGTCGTGACGAAGCCACCCACTGATAATTTTTTTTTTTTAAAAAGGAACAACGTGTCTAAGTTAAGAGAATATTGGCATTCATGAAGTTGACAAGAGGGGACAATCATAGTGAGACAATACATTTAATGTGCCCTTTAGATATATTATCGTGCTGAGTTTACTATTTAGACATGTGATGATAATAATTATTAAGAATAAAAATATGTCGATGTTCAAACAATTTAACTACTCCAACATTTAGACTATGCGTTATTGATTACAGTGTTAATCACATTTCATGTGAAAGTTTTGATTCACATTTGGTCCAAATATAAAGGTTGGTGTCACTTTTTATAAAATGACATAGTGGTGGAGTTAATATGGGGCAATGACCGTTACCTACCCCAATAACATATAAAATCCTCATTTTGAAATTTCGTTTGACGCTTATACTAGCTAAAGATAAATGAAATAAGGAGACCTTTAATCAATATTTTTTAAATTGGCACAAACAAAAACTACGTCGTTTGTGTTCTGTTTCACTTAAAAAAAAAAAAAAAAGAGTTTAGCATGCTAATTCTCAAACAAGCTGAAGACTTATCAAATACGCAAACACCTCCACTCAAACTTCATATCTCCTAATTCAAAGCTTCTCCAGTGTTCATGTTCCGTCAAACACCTTCATTGTACATAGTTGTATCACGGAATCCCAATCATATCAGTATTTTTCTCATCTTGGGTTCATTGGGATTTTTAGGATTATTGTGTTGAGTGATTGATATGAACTAACTTTTTGCAGAAATAAAATTATAAATTGGCAATTATAAGTAAGAGTACGATCAATTTTTAGAAGCTTTTAAATTGACCTCGTTGTTGTGAATTTTGGCTCCGACATGATAATTAACATGTCAATCGCTTATGAACATGAGATGATAAAGATCTAACCTTATCTAAGAAAAACATGCCGATTCCTAAACAATCTGTTATTTAGACCGAACTAATTATATTACATTTATAGAGCTTAGATTAACTTGATATTAAACTCTAAAAGCGTCTCATTTTTATATAAAAGAAAAGCAATTAGCAATATGATCAGTAAACGTAATTTTATGGTTGACATTCAACTCTAGAAAAAAACACGAACACTTTGATGAATAATTGAGATATATTAGGAACCACATATGATAATGCAAATAGTCATTTGTCGAGGCGGCTGCCAAAATGGTCCCCTCTATTGTCCCCCAATTGCAAATAGGGGACAGTGGGATATTCTGTTGCAGGATGGTCCTCTAAATTCTTTTATTTATTTTCCTTTCCCGGATACCAAAAGAAACGAATATTATACAAATGGGCCTTCTAATGGGCTTCAAGCCCAATTTACAAAGACGCCCAATAGAATCCAGATTTTCCTGAGAAACGGATATTTTCCGGGAAGCCCAATGGAAACCCGTTTCAAAACGTCGAACCAGAAGAAAAGCACAAGCAAAGGACCTGTCTCTCTCTCGTCGACTCAGGGACGGTGATATCATATCACTGATATGGACGACGAATTGCTGGAACTGCAGAGGCAATTCGAGTTCGCACAGCAGGCGAAATCGAGCATCAGATTATCCGATCGAAACGTCGTCGAATTGGTCCAGAAGCTTCAGGAGCTGCATATCATCGACTTCGAGCTTCTCCACACCGTCACCGGCAAAGAATACATTACTCCCGTATACCTCTCTCTCTCTCTCTCTCTCTCTGTTTGTTTCTCGAGAAAATAGACGAGAAATTATCTAAAGAAACTTTCTTTACTTTTTTTATTTCGGTCATCAAACACGGCATTTCGGTTTTTGAATTTCATCGCAATTCAAATTAATATTGTGTTTAATTATTAATTATCGTGTTATTGTTGTTATTTTATTCGATACGATATTTGCATTTGTAATTTGAGTACTGGGTGTGGTTTTTGGCTTAAAGATTTGAGTTTGATGATGGTGGTGGTGTGGTAATGATAGGATCAATTGAGGAATGAGATATCGGCGGAGGTCGGTAAACTAGGGCGTGTTTCGTTGATTGACCTGGCGGACGCTACCGGAGTTGATTTGTATCATGTTGAGAAGCAAGCTCAACATGTTGTTTCGGATGATCTGGGGCTTATGTTGATTCAAGGGGAAATAATATCGCAATCTTATTGGGATTCTGTCGCCGAAGAAGTCAATGACAGGCTTCAAGAGTGTAGCCAAATCGCTCTGGCAGAACTTGCCGCGCAGTTGCATGTCAGTTCGGAAATGGTGGCATCTGTGTTGGAGCCCCGCCTTGGGACTTTGGTAAATACTTTCCCTGGTTTTGAGTGATTTTGGAATTGAAGAAAGGAAAATTATGATATGGGTTGTTCTCTTGATTCAGGTGAAAGGTAGGCTTGAAGGTGGGCAATTGTATACTCCTGCATATGTTGCACGGGTTACTGCCATGGTTCGTGGTGCTGCCAGAGGTATCGCAGTTCCCACAAACTTATCATTGTTGTGGAGTTCTTTACAGCAGTTGCTGCAAGAAATGGATGGAGCGAGTGGAGTGGCTGTAGAAGGTTCTTTTTTCCAGTCCCTATTTAATGGGCTTGTAAAGGAAGGACAGCTTCTTGGATCACTTCGCGCAGGAGTTCATTGGACACCTAATGTATGTGTCATATTCTTGTTTCATTTGGTTTCGGTGCTTCGATTTCATTGCATATGACGACCGCAGTAAAAACTGCATACTCTGATTAACATGGACTTCTGTAATGTTCCAGCACAAACTTGCAGAACCATTAGCTTTGTTATTACAGAATCACTTCCCATAGACTTTTTGGCTTTCTATCAAAGAAACATATATTCTTTAAAGCTGACTATATGTCTACATTATTTGTAAATTTCGTACAGGTCTTTGCCATTGCTCAAAAGGAATCAATTGATTCTTTCTTTTCACAGGTATGAAGCCCTTTTCTCCCTCCTATTTGTAAAAATGTGGTGTCCAAAAACCTTTAGATGCTTCCCGAACTTCAAATTTAACATGTACTCCTAATTACATGCTCAGTTATATGTTTTAGTTTCAGCCTCTGATTTGGCCTTTTACTTTTCTTTTCAACAAGTGTAGTATATGTGGCATTTAGCACTATTTTTTGTATGTGTAGAGTGTCAAGATTACTGGTAGCTTCTCAGTTCAAGGCTTTGGACCTTTTCAATGAATTTGTGGTTTTGTGGTTACATAATTTTCTGGGAAACCAAAGTTCAATACATTTTGTGTGGTTTCGACCATTTCTTTTTGGTTTGAAATAGGGAAGAACATTCTTAGATGTTGATGATTCTTTCTTCTGACTTGTTCTTCAATTTCCTGCAGAATTCTTTCATTAACTATGATGTTCTGCACAAACTTAGAATTCCTCAGCCTATTCAGTTCTTGCAGGTATCTAATTGCTTTCATGTTGACGTTCTGATTTTGGAGCTTATAGGGTTTATATGTGAAGTCATTGCTTATTTCTTTTATTTTTTATGTAATTAAAATTTGTGGTTATGTACTTGAATTTAGTCCAGATATCCAGAAGGCATACCTTTGGTTACTACATTTGTTCACCCCTCAATGATTGAGATGCTTGATGCTGCTACGGAAGATGCTCTCGAACGTGATAGCTGGTAAACTTCTCTACTATTTTTATGAATACTTTACTTTTATATATGAGTTAATTTCATCACCTCTTAAAACTTTAGTACGAAAATTTATCACTTGACACTGTACCTTTTCTGTTTCTTACTCTTTGTGCCTCTAATTAGATAGCTTTCATGGG